CGTTTCACATACTTACTTAAGAACACTGCATCTCTTTTCTAACCCTTGAAATGAAGTTAATGTACACCAAAAAACAAGTTTCATTTATTCAGTTCCCTTCACGTTTTATCTAAATGACACATTTCCATACCCTCTCATACATCTCAACTTGTGAAATCCTTACCCTTTCATATACCTGAAACCTGAACAAGGTACCCTGTTTGGGTGGAGCCTCCCCGGACAGGCCGTTATAGGGAGCACCCTTACCATAGGATGCAGACAATTTCGACTTTCTATTTTACACGAATTCATTTTCTATTTTCTAAGACGTATCTTGCGAAATTTATGAGTCAAAGCTGTCTCTAGAACATTGGATCAATGAAACTGACAGTAGAGCTCATCGCTACTAACTTATTTATCTCGTTTCTTAGTCATGTGACTTTTCACACACTAGGGAGTTTCAGTAGCCACGACGGCGACAGCGAGGACAACGTCAATTAAAAATGAATTTATATTTTACCTAAGAATCTCGCGGTACGGTAAAGTCATTTACTTTGTTTATCACTGTCAAAACTATCACAGAACTGAGTTTGGGAACACAGCTAGCGATCAATTTGAAAAAGGAATTTAAAAAATTAGCCGTCGTGGTTTACGTTCTACCAGACAACGCAGAATTTGGTCATTTCACGTTGTTGTTTTGCAGAGGACGGCAAAGAAATGTATCAAGAATTATAATGCACGTGCGCAGCCATTGTCCTGCTCATGAAATCTTTTGTTTAGCGACGTTGCCGTCGTGGTTTTCTTAAACTCTATACTAACCTTGGTAAGGTAATCCATTGCAGTTGTTTCTGTTCACTCCAGGACGATGTTGCTGTGAATTTGTCGACCATTCAGCGGCATGGTGTTGCGAAAGTTATTGCACATGCGCCCAGCGTTCTTCCCTTGCACATGCGCTTTGCTGCTCTTCAGATTTCGGAACGCCAGAAGCTGGTTACAAGATAAGAAAAAAGAAATGATACTTCGTTAGTTTTTCATGTCTTTGAAACAGTCCAGAATTTTAGCAACAGATGAAAACATAACTTAAGTACAGTCGAACCTGTATATAACGGCTTGAGAAACTGGCCGCTTAATACAGGATCACTAAAAAATACTCCCTGGGCGTGGTCTAATGTCAGTTTTAATGTCGTATCATACAAAAACACTTCATGCAAGGGAACAATACTTTAAACAAAGTTCAGTGCCACCTTGTAACTAAACGATATAATATACGTAACATTGTGTAAAGGTACTGTGCAATGATTTGTCCCCTATACTCTTCTACGGTATACGGTACTGTAGTGTATTTCTGTGACTTACAGTTCATAACAAAATATCTAATTCAGTCATTTCATAGTCGTTACGTTCATTTTCATAGCTGTCACGTTAAGGGAGGCCACTTAATACAGGTAAAAATAACAAAGAAAGACAACCACAGGACTGCTGCAGGGTGGCCGCGGCCGCTTAATAGAGGTGGCCGCCTAATACAGGTAACAAATACAGCGTTTGTATGAGCAAAAATTCGGGACTTGAAAACTGGCCGCTTAATAGAGGGTGGCCGCTTAATACAGGGCCGTTATATACAGGTTCGACTGTACCAGCTTTACACATGTGACAGTTAAAATGCTCTTTGTCTCAATAAAAGGCTCGAAAACAATGCTAGCATAACAGTCCAAAGCCATCATTAGACATAGATTGCCGCGGCACAGTTAAATAATAATTACTTACCTCTTTCTCGGTTATTTGCGGGTGGTTGTTCATGACAAACCACGTGACAGATTCATAACATCCGGGAGTTGTGAGAGATCCTTTGTATTTGTAAAACCTGTCGGTAATATCCGGGGAAACGAGCAGTGGCGCTAAGTCCTCGATGTGAATCGCTGCGCTTTGAGTAACCACGTGACTGCTGTCTGGTATCAGAAAGTGTGATGCACAGTGTTAAGGTAGTCAGTGAACTACAGTAAAAACCTGCTTATAAGATCCTAAAATTTAAGAACCTGTTAGTTTCCCAGTTAAGCACCCTTCACATAAGAACCATTCTAGTAAAATCTGAATACAGGTTCTTATTTTAAAATAAAGAGTTTTTTCAGATATAAAACAGCACATCACATACGACACAAAAAAGGTAACAAAAACTAGCCAGAATACTGGCAGTGTCATAAGACCATAATACTGTACTGTGTACTTCAATATAAAGGTCACCGGCCCATGAGTACAAGTTGTTTTTTTGAACAAAAATGAAGAACCTGATTAGACTCTGATTAAGAACCTAGGTAAGTACCATTTATATAAGAACCTATGGAGGCTAACTTGAAAAAACCTAGGTTCTTATATGTAGGTTTTTCCTGCATAAAGGATTTAAGTTTGGTTGACAAAAGCAGGAAAATCGCACGTGCTCAAAAGGAACCGCAAAAGTGCACACGTTTAAATTTAATTGAGAATTCCAGTATTGTTCAGTTTTTACTGACAGTCGTACTGCAAAGATCTTAAAAGTATACACCGTCTAGCTGCTGACGAAGTTGACTTTCTGCTTCCCTGTCCCCCACCCCAAAGAAAACACCACTGAGATCAAAAGCCATTTGAAATCTACAACGGCGAGTTCGAGAGTGTTATTGTCTATATGGCGGGCATAGAGGTGCAGCCTAAAATGTAACTTTTCCGGACACACATAGTATTCACAGCAACCTCGATATCTTTAATATCAGTCTTTGAATGCACAAATGTTTACTAGATTCCATCGAACCTGATGGAACACTACATCATGTATGGCCATATACAAAAAACATGCTGGGCATACTTACTTTCATCGACAATGCTGTTCAGGAGTTGTGCAATCTTTTCTAGTGCAACGTTTGCTGGAGTTGAGCTGCTTTTTGCCATTGGAAGCTACAAACAAACAACCAACCAAACAAAAGAACAAATAGACAAACAAAAAATAAATACAGAGTGTTTTTTAGACTCCCGAGGGCCAAAAGAGGAAGAGGCACTTGTCTGTTAAGCCATGTCGACGGCCCCTAATGTTCCTGCTGTTTTTAACCAATGCTTATCAGCAATTTCTGCTATAATAACTCTTTGCTCTTTATTCACCCCCCCCCCTTCTATCAGAATGGTTCCCCTTCGCAGAAATTCAAAACCACAATTTTGAAAAGCTGGCAGATAAAAGAAAGGAAAATTAAGGGAAATTTAAAAATGTAGAAGACATAATTTTCCATGATATGATATTATAGCTACTTAGCTTTGCTTTGTGCTGTTTAAGAATAGCAGCATACCAAAGCGTGCCAGTTTACCTCGTACAAAACAGCGACAACAGCTAAGCCGTCCTCTCCTTGAGCTGCTAATTCGAACGATCCATAATTTGTGTTGTCCCAAAACACCATGTGCAACTAAAAAGACAAATAGCAATGGATAGTGGTTTACTGGGTCTTTCAATAACGTCTTCCACCCTTTTTTTCCGGAGGGGGGGCGCGACTCCCATATAAAAGGACGGGGGCACGGGTGCTAGTCGGAGGTTTTGAAAAGAACCCCTAAGAGGTATTAAGGTCCTATTTTGTGGGCGGGCTTGAAATGTTTTTCACCCCTAAGAGGTACCAATTCTAAAACAACAAATTTTCTCCTGTCATATTTTTTCGGCTCAATACCCGAAAAGGTATCACAAAAGCCCCCCCTGTAAACCTTTCAAGGGTGAACACTCTAAGAGGTATCAAACCGCCTTTTTGACCCCTAAAAAGTACGGCGAACACCCCTGTCCTTTTTGATATGGGAGTTCCCCCCCCCCCCCCCGGGGTTTTCTCCGTTTGGTGTCGTCTGATCGACCACAATTTTCGTATTTTCAAAAAGAATCTATGTGTATTAGGAGGTAGGTAATGACGTTGTCAAGTCAACAAAATTTAGCAAAAAGAATGATCACTTGTTTTACCTCAATTGGATACGTGTTTCCATCAATTGTATGTTCAGATCCAGCGGTGTCGTTGCAGCCAAAGTGAAAAAGAAATTCGTTGAGGAGGTACCTCTCTTGCAGGAGACCGCCGGCCAGTTTGACTGTGGACCCCTCTCCAAGGTAAAACTTTGGCGCGTATCCAGTGTTTTTAAGCTCACCTGTGATTGGTTTATTCCCCGCCACAGTGAGCCTCAGATTAGGTGGGTTGGTAGGATCTTTCTGCCTGACCTGATCAGTCATAATGTTAATTGGTGATTGTTTACGTCCATTGCAAGACCAGTCGACGTTTAGGGTTTCCCACTCGTCGGGGCCTTGAGAAAAAAAAAAATTACCGATTAGCGAGATAATTCTCTCTTGAATTTAGATACAAACCAAAGCCTTCACCCGTCATGCATTTCTTCTCGTACTTGTATTAGCTTTGCCTTCTGGTTCATTTTATTGTGTTGCTTATGTTTATTGCAAAATTAGCCAAACATGAGCAAGCTTTAATTTTATTTAGATTTCCGCGACTCTTTAGGGCAGTAGCTAGTAACGGGACAACCGGTTGAGGCAATTACCCCGGTAAAAAAAATTAGAATTTACTCATTTCAAGTTCAAGGTGTGGTGAGTTTGATTTTTCTATGGAGTCCTGTCTTTAAACATTCCAAACTTTTCACTAATTTGGAGCATTGAAATCCTTAAGTGGTATGACGCTTTTTAAACATTAATAATGCTATAATGTATTTACCGTTAGCTCCTTCCTGTCTGTCGTAAGTCCAAAATGCCTGGTCTTGTTCAGCTGTTTGCAACAACGAAAAAAAAAAAAAAATTTGTAACTTTTAAAAGAAAGGCTTATTCAATAGACCATTTTGCAGTAACCTGGCCTTTGAATGGCAGCGAGGCTGCAGGTTACCTTGTTTTGATAAAGACCCCACTGCTTTTGTTGTGTAAATCAAGTTGTTCTTATGCTTACTAGTTGGCATTAACTGAGAAAAACAGAGAGGCCTGTATTAAAGCAAGGTCACCTCCAGCCTAGCTTGAATTCATAGGCCAGCACACAACTGTAAAATGGCCTATTTCCAAGTCCCCCGCTACCATTTTCTAGATTTTTTTTTGGCAGTTTGACTTACTCGTTAAAACTAAGTCCAATCTGGAGGTCGGCGGCCTGGAAAACTACGAAACGTGTTACTTCTTCAGTTTATAATACTGGCAAACTGATTGGTTCCCTTAGCTGTCCGCCTTCTCTTGCAGTACGGACTGCTAAGGTCGACTGCTCAGAAATTAGTTTCAACGAATTGCTTCTTACACAAGTAATAGCTTGTTGTTGAGGATCGTCTTTCTCTCAAGTTTCAGTTGTTTTTCACTTAACTGATCAGAAAAATTAAAGAAGAAGAAAACAATATTTACATTCGCCAACCAGTATGCTGTGAACTTGCGTCGCTCCCAAACTAGGAGTCTTACTCGTTTTTAGTTAACTCCGTGCTTGAATTCACGTAAGCTCTAAACATAACATTGTATTCAAGTTCAGATATATAAGCACTTTATTCTCACAGCATTCTGGATTGTTTTTCAAAAACTACTCACATATCACCATGTGCTATACCCCTGACGGTACTCCCAGAAAAATCGATTGGGGATCTACGTCCCAATTCCCCAGAACCCTTACCCTATTTTTAAAGACCAAACTCTGCCATTTCCCTACCCTATTTAAGACCAGACCAAAAATTTGACGCCCTATTTAAGACCTGTGTTATAATTAGTCACCCAGCCAAGATGCATTGTTAATGGTCTTATCGATAATGGTGAAAAAGTAGCTTCTTCTAAAATCGTACCGAATTGAAGACTAGACTGCAAAAACCATACCCTATTTAGGACAGAAATAGCCAAAGGATTCCCTATTTATGACCATCCCCTTTGGGGTTGTACATACCTATATAGCCCCAAAAGGGAGTACCTCCCCCCCGGGGAGGGGAGCTGCACTCTTGACGCACCTTACCTGTGCCTCTATTCATCAAGCAGGGAGCGACTCGCCGATGCTAATACATTATATATACAATACAAGGTTATACCTCAATGTTGTCAAATGTAACTTACTAGCCCGTACAACGTCCTTTTTTAAGCTCAACAGCAACACTGAAAAAAGAAGGAAGAGAGTAAAATAAAACGATATTTTGATGACTGTTTTTTCAGCCGAGCGTTTCAAAGCCAGCGTAAGAAAGCTGCGCAACAAAGTCCACGGCCTTAACCATTTGCAAGCTTTTTTCTTTGTGTGAAAAGGCTCTCTTACGGGGACAAATTTTTATCCCCGTAACGTGTTGCATAAAATTCAGCTAGTTTGAATTCGTGCGCCATGAAGCAGGGACAAAATGACTTCAATTTTCAATGTGGCATCGTGTGCACTGCTCTCGTAAACTGTCCGCGTTACAAACCAATATACGCTTCGAGTGCACCAGGAGTGCATACTGTCCCTGCAACATGCATCTTATGTGTACACACGAAGGGGCATGTGCCCCATCCCTCACGTTCCTACGACATATTCTCAAGTGTGTGCCGACGTTTCACCATTTACCGTAGAGATCCAGTGGACGATTTGCAGATGCATGATGGCGTCATTTGACTACAATTAAAAATATCCCTCACTTTTTCTGTTTCTTATGCTAATAAGGGCAATTGTTACTTAAACCCCACTGGGGCTTCAAAATTTAAATAATAAAGAAAAAAAGAAAGGGATTCTGGTAATTGAGTCACATGACGACAACGTGCAAAACTGCTACTGTCGACTTAAATAAATTCCTGCTGTTTATGAGGCTGCCTGTGTGGGATATTACAATACGAGAGGTTTAATTTGTTTAAAGACATAATTAGGGAATATTAAATTAAAGATAAGTAAGCGGATGTGTGGTATTTAGGAAACGTTTTACGTACGTTCCCGCAAACAAATGAGATATTTACTAGACCAAAATTGGAAGGAATACTTAGAGGATGTCGTGAGAAAATAATGGTGAGATATTCCTTTCACCAAAAGCAAGTCCCCGCTTTCGCGGAATAAAATTATACGATGGAGCAAAACAGCTTAAAAACTAAAAACAAGCTATCCTTTGGTTTATTACCATAAAAACGTATTAGCGCGAACAAAGAACAGAATAAATATAATCACCTTACCTGTAAATATTACATTAGCGAAAGTAAACTTCCGTTTAAAATGCATCTCAGCTTTACCTAAGATGTGAGATATCGTGTACAAAACCGACTCTTTAGGCAAAATTCTCTGGCCTTTTTTTTGGGTGAATATTAAAAAAGGCTCAGAGGAAAATGTCCACTTGAAATAAATTTGCAAAGATCAGCCGTCAATGATTGACAACGCGAACGCGTCGCAGGTTTAATGGTGTCCATGTCAAAAAGCTGCCAATACCATGACACTCATTTCTCACAAACCTTTCTCATTTTCAAATCGTTGTTAGGTGAAAATTTCCACTTGAAGAGCTTCGCAAGGAGCAGTCATTGAGTGAAATCTCCAATACTGGTAGTTCCACAAATATTAATTTATCGTAAACCTTATTCATTTTAATTCATTTGATTTACAAATTATTGTTAGAAAGGCGCAAATTGCTTTAGTAACAATTGGTGATGACATGGTCTTAAATTTCCAGGCATGTTTTTCTTTATTTTTTTTATTGTCGTAAAGAACTTAGTCTGTTGACATTTGCACAGTACCTGCTAGTCGTTGTCACTTTCTGTCAAGGTCACATAATTTTCTGTTGTATTTCAATTCCCCGTCCGTATGGTAAAGCCCCGTCCTACGACCATCTTGTAAGATCCCATGTTAATTGACAAATTATTGTACGTATCACTGACAAGCGGTCAAGTTATCCATATATGGTGAAAAAAGGTGGCGAGGACAGTCTAGTAACCTTGATTATAGTTGTTTAAAGTTTGCCACCTTCTCACCTTTGGAGACAAGAGACAGCCTCCACCCGGAAGTGCTATCGAGTAGAGCTCAGTCCTAAGGTGTGACATGAGATTAAAACTTTTGAGAAGCTTCGAAACGGAAAGCTGAAAGAATATTTTTGTTTCGGTAGAAAAACATTCAAGAAGTTTTCTTGTCAGGATTTTTTGCGCCAAATAAGGGCTCGATAAGCAAACATATCTCCAGCTAGCTTTGCAAGCTGGTCTGTTTATAAGAAAACAAACAATTNACCTCTTTCTCGGTTATTTGAGGGTGATTGTTCATGACAAACCACGTGACAGATTCATAACATCCAGGAGTTGTGAGAGATCCTTTGTATTTGTAAAACCTGTCGGCAACATCCGGGGAAACGAGCAGTGGTGCTAAGTCCTCGATGTGAATCGCTGCGCTTTGAGTAACCACGTGATTGCTGTCTGGTATCAAAAAATGTGATAAATAGTTCGAACGATGTAATGGTGAGGATTTAGAGTGTCTGCCTTTTTTAGTTCAAGATTGGTAAGAATTCTGAGCGGTATAATAAAATGTCGGATCACGTTGAGTAGCTCTCCGTTGTTTGGATGGCAGACAACGTTCCTCTTGGAAGAAGCGCAGCGTGAAAAGCAAACTGAATTACAACTGCAATGAAGACTAAACTTTTACACTAACTATCTAAAAGGGGATTTCTTAACCATCCACTTCCCAGAATGTTTTAGTTTTAAATACGTTAGTGGCTCCCCTTTCTTTGTTCTTTTTAACTCGCAAAATGTTTCATTCCCGGTTTCCGCCATAATTGAAATCTCTCCACTCGAGCCTCCCTTTTTCTCACTTCCCGTTGACTTCCCATTCTCATTGTTCTCGGACTTCTGCTTCCATGTCCCAGACCCCAGAAAAAAAAATCAATGCGGACGGTGAGATAGCACACTATTTCAAATCTACAACGGTGATTTCGAGAGTGTTATCGAATCTTATTGCCACGGTGCGGGTAGCCTAAAAAGTAACAATTCGACTTAGCGCCCTCCTTCTAATAAGCGCTTCTTTATAAGCGCTTTCCACTGAGTGCCGTTTTCTTTTAATAAGCACCCCTATTCCAGTAAACGCCGCCATGGCGATCGTGACTGTTCAAGACATGAACATCAAAAGACCGACTAGACTAATGAATAATAAATCTGCTTTCTCATCTCAACATTGTATAACAGGCGCCCATTTAATTAGCTCGAATAAGCGCCCTCCCTTGAGCCACCGAAAGAATATTAGCACCCCGGGTGCTAAATCCAGTCATTACCCCAGATAATATCTACTGCAAATTGAGGTCTTCCGTTAACGTGCCTTCGAATGTATACACTTTGCCATATAATTTCTTTGATTCTGATTGCCGAAACACTACAAGCTGTTACTAACACGAATGGCCATATCTAAATATGCTGACTAACTTACTTTCATCGACAATGTTGTTCAGCAGTTGCGCAATCTTATCTAATGCAACGTTTGGTGGAGTTGTCTTGATGTTTGCCATTGGAAGCTTCAAGAAACAAACAAAGAAAGAAACAAATACAATGAGGTTTTTAAGAGATTGTCGAGTACCAAAAGAGGCCTAAACCTGGGGGTACTGCCTCGTATGGCCTATATAGGTATGTGCGGCCCCAAAGGGCATGGTTTTTCAGCCGTTTTGGTCTGAAAGAGGGCATAGATTTTAATGCTCTCTGCGGCTTTTATACAAAATGAATCAACACACAGAAAATAGAGAAACTTAAACATCAAAGCGAAAATTACATAAAAAAAACAGACAAATTTACAAATTTAAAATGGAATATGATATTTTGTATACAGTTGCATGATCTCTGTTTTATACAGATGAGTTTACTCATAACTTTTCCCCCTTTACGTTTGAATGTTATACTCACAACCGAAATATATACTACGTCCATGATCATAACTTTTAACACAAGAATCAATACCCACAGCATACTGTTTTACAGACAATAGGCAACCTTACTTTACATTATTTTATAAATCGTCGCTTTAAAGATGGTTTCTAGTCAGTACTGCGTACTCTTGAGAGTTTGTTTACGTTTTTTGTCTTGATTCATGTAATACATCACAAGATGTAACATTTCGCAACTACTTACATGAAGTAAACCAGTTTCATGCTAAAAATCATTATGGACGCGAAGCGTTATGCTTCGTTCTTTCTCATATCACTTGATGAAACAACTTCGCAGCTGTAAAAATCAATGAAGCTGTTGGAAAAAGAATTTGAAAGGCCTCAAAGAT